ACGCAACCAACACAGTCTCACTCGCTGAATCGTCGAGCGACGCTGGTCAAGGTCCTATGGCGTGCAGTTGTGCCGCGGCCGATTCTCCTTCAGCTTTCATAAACTGACGCAAAGAGGCTTTCAACTGATTGCATGTATTCCATTGGCGCGGTTATTTGACTCAGGGAAAGCACCGCGTCGGGTCCATGTCGGTCACAGGGCTCCTCCAACGTGCAACACAATAAAAACAGATACACATAAAAAATAGTGCAAGTAATACAAAATAAAATAGTATAATATAAAAAGTGATATGTGCAATAAAAGTCATATAGGCAATATGTATATATGACAAATAATTTCATGAAATAGCAGCCAGATGAATGTTTGGGATGGTGTTTCAAAATTCAGGTGTGTTTAATAGTCTTCTGGCCTGTGGGATGACAGCTGTCCCTGAGTCTAGTGGTTTTTGTCCGGATGCTGCGGTACCGGCCTGCCAGACGGCAGGCAGGACGAACAGTTTGTGGGGTGATGGGGGTCTTTTATAATCCTGAGGGCTTTCTTTAAGGTTAACCTGGTATTTTTACTCCACTACATTTATTTTAGTTTCTTTACAGATTTGGATTAACGATGTGAAATATAAACAACCCTTAAATCAGACTTTAGTTACACCTGAGTAAAATTCAGTGAAGGTGATTGTCAAGTGCCAACAATCAGGCAAGATATTTGGTAGTGGGGGCTTGAGAAGGCAAAAAATGTATCTGCAGATCTCTATAAAGCATATTCATTACTCATTATTCTGTAATCGTTCATCAAAAACTGTATATAATGGCTATTTTGCACATCCCTTTCAAGATTTCCTAAGGTTTATTGACATATCATATACACAACTACGGTGTGGTTATGCAATGATGATAAACTTGGGTCATAGGTTCCTCAACAAGACATCTATCAATATGTGTGTACCACCAGCATTATACTGTCATATTCTGCACATTTCTTATTCCATCTACATACATATAGATTGCCATTAAGAAAAAGGCATTTTAAAACAGTCATTAAAAAAACAACACAATCTACCTGCATTGCAATTACTCTAAATGTGTAATAACGTGCTTTAACCAGTAGGAGGTGCGGGTTAAAAAGCTGTCAAGTTTACAGTGTTAACAAAATAAAATATACTGCTGTTTCCGGTTTAGTTTACGACGGATATATGTTGTTATTGTTTTGATATTTGTAACAAAAAAGCGACGGTCTAGTAGTTAATAAAAAACAATAAAATCAAAACAAAATATTACTGCTAACTTTATTGTGAAATTAAAACAGAACGGTAAAAGAATAGTTTCCGGTCTATTCTGAGGCCCGATCTCAGTAGATAAATAAATAACTATGACAGATGTGTAATATTTAATGCAGCCGAACCATTTATTACAATGCATTCATATGATGACTTTCAAAGAGTAAAGCAAGCACTGCTGAATAAAGTATGATTTTATCTTTTACGAAACGTTTTTTTTCATAATGGAATGCAGTTGGAGGTCAACCAATCACAGAGCTTGAGGACTAATCACAGAGTTTGTCAAGCAAAGCACATGGTGTAGTCCCAAACGATAGCTGAGGATTGTGGGTAGTGTAGTGTCTTCGGCCATCCTAAACTCCGAAAAAATATTTGTTTCTCCGAATCGAAGGGGAAAAATACAAAAGCATTGTACACAATTTAAACCAATCAATGTTGTGTAATTAAAGGAGGATAATCTGGTGTTTTTGAGTTGTTGAGTAGTGCAGATTTCACTGTAAAATCAATCGACAGTAAAGAGAATACTTACTTCCGGGTGTAAAATCCTCCGTTATCCAATGGGAATGGATGCTCACATTGCCTTTAAATGCCGCCGACATGGACCGATGCGGTGCTTCCCTGAGCGTCAAATACCGCCGCCGATGGGAATACATTGCAATCAGTTGAAAGCTCTTTGCGTCCGTTTATGAAAATGAAGGAGACTCAGCGCGTCACAACTGCACGCCATAGGACCCTGACCAAGCGTCGCTCCTGGACGTTCAGGGAGTGAGACTGTGTTGCGCAAACAGACAATCCAAGAAGCAGACAGCTACAAAATATTTAGTGGTAGTATGACAAAATATATGTGTTTTTTTCCCTTTCCTGCAGTATCGATGTCCCCCCTGCTGTCCACCAGGTTTTCTGTTGGCAGAGCCTCCCTATTTCTCAAGGATGATTATGTTGGCAGGTACTGTAGTTATGAGACCAGGTGATTAATCCCCCAGGGGAGGGAAACAACATTAACCTGCCTCTAAGCATTTGCTACCACATCACCTTAGGAAAAACATACCAGTCTGCATATAATCTTATAAAGGTTGGATCGTAAGCACTGTGACATTTCCCACAGAATCCTTGGACTAATTAAAATATCAGCCAAGCATTTTAACTGGAATGCCAGTGATGATCAGACCAGCATGGACAAGTGACAACTCCCATATTCCTCAAAACTTGGGTCATGCAGTTTAATTGGAAATAATTGAACACAAATCCTAAGATAACTCTGTTTTCTTCACCCTCTGCCTTACTCATTACATGGTTGGGAGCTGTCATTGCCTAGAAATAAATAGGGTTGACCTGGATCAGGGTTAACTATGTGCTGCTGAACTGCAAGAAGTTGTTTTGATCAGTGTTTCATTTGAACTGGAAGTAACCTTCTGGCTATTAATGATCTCTTCTACCAGTGTAAAGTACAGGGCTATTCCCCTCATGAGACTGTCACTATCACCGTATCTGATGCTTGAGACAAGTTAAAGAAGGAAACAGATTGTTAAGAACATGTTTCAGATCTCCTCCCAGTAATTGGAGATCACTGACCTGTAAAAAAAAAATACTGCCAGGGATAGAAAGGGATCACCAGCCAGTCTGTGTAGGTAGATTATTGGATAACATGCACCATAAGTATGCCTTCCAGCACCTGCAGCACTTTAGACAGGAGTGGCTTTTGAAGTGATATCTTCACTTTAGAAAAAGATCACTCGCAGGCATCCTGTGTCCAGTATTATTGAAAAGTCTTTTCCAGAAAGGAGAGATTGAACAAATCTGTGCTAAAAAACCCAGAAAGATCATCTGTTAATACAGGCGCATGTGATTGGAAGCTGATTACCAGAACTCATGATAACCTACGGACCTACCTAAGAAAAATATTGCAGTACATGTTACTGGGTTACGTAATCAGGAACTGTATTCCTTAACAGTCACATAAAAAGAATATGTAATCAGATTACTGGTACATGTTTTTAAATGGGGATAGCAGGATTAAAATGTTTTAATGCATTTTATTATTAAGATGTAATGTCTGAATTTAGCTTTTTGCTTTTCCTTTTTTCAGTTAAACTAAAACAGCATTTGTAAACTACACTATTCTGTAAGCCTAACATTTAAGAAGACACATTTTCGATCCTAAATATATTGGTTTCTTCTTTTCTAAGGTCACATTGTTCTGTTGTCTTACATAACACTTCAGTAAAAAACATCTTATGATTATTCTTCTCACTTTTATGCATTTGCATTGCATTTGATATTGAGGCAATCCAAAAGTAGTAGCGGAGAGCATAGAGTAATTAGGTCACATTACTTTTATATTGAAATACTCAGATACTGATTACTGATTTTTACAAGAGAGGAGCCTTGGAGGATGAGGACGAGCTGGTTGGCATTTCAAATATATGTCTTGTAAAAGTCCCTCAGATAATCTCTGACAATGTTTCCCTTAGAAACATTGTTTTACTGGACCGTCCCAAATAAGTCTAAAGGTAAGGGAAAAGGAAGAATCAGAATTTAAATTCACCGAACAAGGCGACCTAATTGTAAGCAGCATTGGTACACTCTCTAAAACATTTACAGGTTTGAAAAACTTACAATTAGATATTCTAAATTCAGAAAAAGTGAACTCACACGTTCCAAAATTAAATGTTGTTCCTGAAGCTGATGAGAGCTGAAATGTATGCAGCTCGAACAGCCACCTTGTGTTTGCTGTGCGTGTGATATTGCAAGGTTCAGATTTGATTTGGGTGTATGAAAGTACGTGCTGCAAGATTTGTTACTGGCTCTGTTTACAATAGACTTACATTCAGCCAGCCAAACAGGTATATTTATTTATGTTTTTCTTTAAGTTACTATGTTCTCACAGTATATTAATAATAGTTTACTTCCACGTCATTTCAAATTAATTGCTGTCTTTCTTCTCATACCTGTCTTCCTGCACCACCCGGCCTTCTGCCATGGAATCCATCTGTCTTCCTCTCTGTTTGGTGCAGATGGAGCAACATGACAAGGGCACAGGAGCCAATCCATTCCCACCTTGTCATCTGCAGGCGTTTCGATCTGCCACAGCGCTCTTCCATCTCGATTAGGGGTGGCCTGCTGGCGGGAGGCGAGCCTGTGTATGTGTTAAGTGCATGTATGTGTGTGTATTAGGGAAGCGGGACGTGTGTTATAGGGCTGAACTGGCCTGTACTGCAACAACCCCCTCTTCCTACTCCCTGTCACCCAACTGTCAGAGCCAAAGCCATTGTCATGGTGTGGATTTGCAGAACATCGCCACTTCACCGCCGCAATGACAATTACTGTCCCCTGGAGATAGGAAATGGCAGCTTACAACAGCCAATCTCAGATCTGGAACTTTATGATAATTGATGAAACGGTGTGTCTTGTTTTTTTTGTAGATGATAGAGACCCGAGAAATTAATGCACACGCACATGCCTCATGTGTCAAAATCATCCATCCCCAAAATGATGGATGTGATACTGTTCGTTGGCTTGATCGATAGTACATTAGTTGTCAATAGCAGCTATTTCCATCAACATGTATGCCCAAATGCTGCTGCCTTTTTAATCCATTTCCCCCTTTATTTATAATGTCTTACTCTTCTCCTGTTGAAATCAGACCAACATAAAGTGTTATTTGTGTGTTAAAATGATTTACAGTAGAGGCTTCTGTTAATCTTTTGATCACTATTTACATGTTTATTCATATATATATGATGTCATATTCTGGTAAGTAACCTCTGGTTTATGACTTAAAGCAACCTTCTTTGTCCGTACTGTAATTATTTTGTAGTTCAGTGAAAAAAATATACTTCCCTCATTAGATGTACCAGTTTGCTCCATGTGCGGTATTTATTTATTAATGTGTGAGTTCCTCATTAACAAGAAGCTCCAAATCTTTCCACAGCTGTGTACTCGGAAATTGACAACCTCTAAAATGACAATTTATGGTGTTTTTACATAGTGGACAGAAGGCCCATAATGGTTACATTAGGATAAGATTCAAATGAACTCGCAATTTCCTATGTAAACACTAGCTAACGTGCACATTCACTAAACATACACACATTACACACGTTACAATCACCAGAGTAGAGACTCTGTCTGTCGCCCTCCACACACTTTTACCTTAACTGTGTTTTATTAAGGATTAAGTCTATCACAGCTTTGTGGATGGATGTTTTTTTACAGGAATGGGCCTGTTTATGAAGCCAATGTTTGATTATTTCATTGTGTTAAATCCCTGTTCCCCCAGCAAACAGGGAGAGATGAGTATTATAGGGGACCAAACACACACACACACAGGGCTGGCCACCACTGTCTGTTTATCCTGACTAAATGTGTTTGCTCCCCTCTTTACGTGGAAATAAAGCTCACCAGTCCATCCAGGATCTATCATCCCCTAATATACTGTCGCTGTGCTGTCCTTCACAATGCTCTGGCTGTTCAATTTTTTTCATGTTGTTTTGTTTTACACAATTTAATTTGCATAATTCTATTAACAGGAGACTCTTTATTGAATGCGTTCAACTCCGCCCCGACCCAAAAAGTTTAAAAGGATACTAAGCATGTGCTCAATACCAAGCATGTATGTTTATGAATACTTTAACTTTTTAAGAATTCCAAAGGATATTTAACCCTTGGAAATTGGTAATAAATATTATTTTAACATTACATAGATAACTGTACATCATTGTGTATATAATAATGGGTTTGTAAATCATCTATACAACATATTTGAATGGCTGTTATAAAGTTGCATCCGATGACTATGTTACCTAGTTGAATGTTAAATAAAACATTACTTAGATAGATAATTATTTCTTATATTACGCAATATAATCAAAATGTTGTTTGTATGACTCTTTCTGCTACGATCCAATATATGATATATCATAAGTATTTCATATTACAAAAACAAACAACAATTTCACCTTTATTATACCATTACTAATATATTTTAAATATTATAAACTATAATTGTATGGCTTGTTAACAGACAAATATTTATAAACTCAAGTCAAATGTACTATCAATTTACCATTTATGACTAATATTTATTTTAAAGTATTACTGTATGTTGGAAACTGCAAACAATCTAGTATAGATATTATATTATTTTGATATTTAAAACATTACTGTGATGGCATACAGTCAACCATTTGATGCCAATATTTACTTTGGTAGGATAACTGTAGTAACACAAGTCACTTTGTTTTGATGTCACTTTAAAGTATAATGCAAGTAAAAAAAAAAACACCAACAATTGGGAAAGTAAATGAGTTAATCTGTTATTCTGCTCAATGTGCTGTACCAATAATCTTGTCTGCAGTGTTGCATAGCAATGCACCTTCCCTTCGTGCCACACAGGCCACATGATGATATGAGATCCTCATGACAGTAGGGGGTGAAATGACCCACGGTTGAAATGCCTGTTTAAAAAAGAGGAGAGTCCAAAGCTAGACACGGTTGATTTTGTGGAGAAGTGGCCTTTATCCTGGCTCTCAGGAGAGGATAAAGGCCTGCTATTTTTTATTCCAGACATCTACCAAAAGCAGGGAAGGATTTAAATAGGAGACAGAAGGGGAAAAATTTAGTTAGTTGAAGGGGTTGCAAACTAGCAGTCCTTAGGCTTGTATAAGGACTATGATAATATTAATAAGTTCTTAAAAAAATATTCTCTCATTCAGAGCCCTCTTATCAGTAGACTTTGCGACTATAATTGATATCTGAAGACTAGTGGACCTCTTAAGGCTACATACCGTACAACTGCATGTATCCCGTTATTCACTTCCCCAAACAGTGTAGTGATTATCGTAGAGTTTACATTTATGAAAGTCATGTTAAACAAAAATAAGTCAATACAAAAACGCAACAAAAATATTTGGTTATGTTCATTATAGAATCACATGTTGCTTAAAATTGTTATGTGTCTTATGTTATGTGAGCTAAAAATGGTCAGTGTTGACAGAAAGTGTTTTTTTTTACCGTTCTGCCACCCTGACCTCATCCCTTGAGGTACTTTTGCAGATTTGAATATTTTTTCTTTAGAGAAAATATATTTCCCTCAAAGCCTAATTTTAGTTGTTAAGTATTATTTATTACTACGGCTTGCTGCAAGAAGACATCTCATCTCTTCTTCTGCCCTGGTCTGGCCTGTCAGAGTAAGTAAGTATACTGTGGTTGAACAGCCTGACACTTGTAGCGCTTGTGTAGCACCGGGGGTTTTGGCAGGGTTAGTAATTAATGTCTTAACTTCTTAACATTAAATTAAAACTTAAATGAACCTACAGTGGCCAGTAGGAACATTTAATTTCCAGATCTCTGATTGCCACGTTTAAGTAGGCAAGGTCACCGACCTCAGCATCAATCTTTGTGATTGGCCTAATGAAGATGGCTTTGACCTCATTATCCTTGCACCTCTGACCGTCTCTTTCCTCACTCGTTTATCCCCCCATTACTGCTTTCTCTCTTT